GGTGTCGTGGCATGGGTGCGGTGCCCTAAACCTTGACCTCCTGAAAACGCATGCGGGAAGGTTGTATGAATCCTGCACCAGGTCTTGGCATTGGGTCGCTCGGGTGTCGTTGCATGGGTGCGGTGCCCTAAACCTTGACCTTCCTGAAAACGCATGCGGGAAGGTTGTATGAATCCCTCGAGCTATGGGAGGTTACATATACATGTTACACGCTCCCATAACATTCAAAAGAGTGTCTAATCCTTTTAGACATCAAAAATTGATGTCAACCGTAGGAATATAACTTCCTGAACCAATCTCAATCGTCTATATTGATTCTAGATCATTCCAAGAGGTCTATATATGTACTCATTATTCTTGTAGAGCGTGAGGAGTATATACACCTATAATTCTATAATGAATGAGGTTTTGTGATTTGTTTATGTTCTAAATCCAATCCTATACTTTTCTTCTTTATCTTCTTATCTATCATGACATTAGAGCTGTAGCAAAACTATAATGGATGAATCCACAACCTCCAACCTAAATGAAGCCATTGCATCTCTCAAACAATTAGGCACTGTTATCCCTCAGTCCTTAAAATTTTTAATGTCGAATATCAAAGTTATGGTCACTATATCCCTCTTTATAGATATTTATCTAATCTTGAGATCTAAAATAATCAAAATTGTGAAGCCCAATAGATTTCTCCAATTTTTTTATGGATCAGTTCTACAACTGCATTCAACTATCACAAATGACTCAATCTAGAATATAATACTTGGATGCTAGTTGATCAGAATCTCATAACAACAATCTCTTTAACCATATCTACCATAAATTTGTTGTATGTTCTAAATCTTGAAAAATACTTTGAAAAATGGAAAACATTGGAAAAATATTTGCAAGCCACTAACACATCCAAAGTAATCCAAATGAAGAATGAACTACACAATGTATCCATAAAGGATCAAACAACGATACAATAGCTTACTCAAATCAAGGCGCTAGTTGATAACCTTTCAGTTGTTGGAGATTTATTTAACACTAAAAACATTATCCTATGTACTCTCAAGTGCCTTCCAACACCTTATCAAACATTCAAGACTGTGAAAGGAACTCAATTAAATCCAATTGACCTAGAAGATCATTACTCCCTTCTTTTCAATGAAGAAATTAACATAGCTAATGACAATTCAGTTGTTCAGAATTCAGATCATCAACTGGCTCTCTATACTCAAAGAGGAAGGTAGATACAATTCAAACAAAGGTAGGAGCAACATCATTAAGCAATGATACAAAGGACAAAAATATATAGCTAAATAATCATCTCCAAGCCAAACCAAAAGACATAGATCTGACATTATCAGATATGCAGTAAACCATGCCATAAAGCTTTAAAATTTTGACAATAACTGAATACAGACTATCAACCAAGTAAACCTCCATAATCCATGGCTCTCATTACATCTTCCACAACCAATCTAGATTGCTATTTAGATGCTAGAGCTACAAGTCATCTAACAGACTCACTGGATCAACTTCAAGTAGCCGAACCCTACCAAAGTTGTGATCAAGCTCATGTGGGCAATGGAGACATAGTTCCCATTAAGCATTCGTGACACGTCTTATTACCAAATGCTACCCATAAGGCTATTCATTCAAAACTACTTCATACATCTCAAATCTCTCACAATTTAATCTTTACATCTCAACTAACCACTGATGACAATTATCTTTTAATCTTTAATATTGTGGAATATCAAATCAAGGATCGAATAACTCAGCGGATCCTTCTTCAAAGCACCGGCCTCAATATGATGTATCCAACTCCAATAATTCAACATGTTCTCGTCTCCACCACAACCCATGAAACTCCTTGGCAACAACATTTGGAACATGCCAATCACCAAAATCTTGCAAACATAGCAAAACAACAACCCAGTTTATCAATTTTTAGTCAATTTTCATTTTGTGAGTCAAGTGAAACTGCTAAAATTCATCATTTACCATTTCCTACACCTAGTTTTACTCAATGTAATCTCATAGAACTCATACATTCAAATGTTCAAAGAACATCCCCAACATCATCTATTCGACGTTATATGTACACTGTTATTTTTGTTACATCCCCAACATCATCTATTCGACGTTATATGTACATTGTTATTTTTAATAATTCTCCTCTTTTTTCATGGCTCTATCCTATGTATCATAAATCAGAAGTTCTCTTCAACTTTATTAAATTTGAACTACTGATAGAACTTCAATTCAATAAGGAAAGTAAAATCTTAAGAACATATGGCAGTAAAGAGTACAAAAAGTCGCAATTCAGCAGTTTCCTGCTCACTTATGGAATTATCCATCAAACAACATGTTCTAACACACTATAACAAAATGGGATCGTCAAACAAAAATACAGACACATAATAGAGACAACTCTTTCTCCTCATCGATTCAAAGCTTCCACCATCCTTATGGCTTGAAACAATTGTTAAAACTATTTATATCATCAATCATTTACCCTCAAAAACAACATTTTTGTTATCAACATACCAACTACTTCATGAAAAACTCCCAGACCACTACTACCTCAAAATATTTTGGTGTGAATGCTTTTCATGGATACTACCTTCTCAAAGAAACAAGCTTCAACCAAGGTTGATCTCATGTGTTTTCCTAGGATATCCAGAACACAAGGGCTCTAACTGTTTTGATCCTAACCCAAGCAGAATCATTATATCTCGACATGTTATCTTTAATGAAATTGATTTCCTTACACAAAATTTGTCACCGTGCAACAACTAAATCAATCTACATATCCAAAATCATTTACTCTTCTACCAATCTCAATCCCCTCCACACTACTTCAATCAACATAGACAACATCAATACCTATACCTCCATAAATAAAACCTGACTCCATGTCTACATAGAAAGAAGATAATCCATCCATGTCCCCACAACCTTTCATCACAATTCTCTCGAGACATCCCAATGTTACACAATCCAAAACTAATTCCCTTCTAGCCAAATGGACCTTTGATCTTCTGCATATTTCTATACCTGAAATAGAACCATCCACTTATAAGCGGGTTGCGCGTTATCCTCAATGGCAACAGCTATGGTTGAAGAAATCAAAGCTCTCAAATCTCAGAACACATGGGTCCTAGTTCCTACATCTACTGATCAACCAATATTATGTAGTAAATGGACGTTTAAAATCAAAACGAAAGTCGCAAGATACAAGGGCGGAATTGTAGCTCAGGGCTTTCAAAAAGAATGCGGCTTAAACTACACAAAAAACTTTTAGTATTGTCTCAAAATTACCCATCTTCCGGTTATTACTAGCAGTCACTTGACATCATCGGTGGAAAGTACTTCAAATGGACATTTCCAATGCATTCCTTCATGGTAAACTTCAAGAAAATGTATTCATGTGTCAGCCGTGGGATAATTTGATTCAGATTACCCAACTGATGTGTGTCAACTCTAAAAATTCCTGTGTTCTTAAACAAACACCTTGTTAATGGTTTGATATATTCTTCACCTTTCTAGCACATTTTGGGTTCAAGCCGAGTCATGCTGATACATCCTTACTTATTTAGAATCACAATTTTAACAAAATTTTTCTTCTTCACTATGTGGACGATATTCTTTTGACAGGATAAATCCAAGTGTTATACAACAACTCATTCAAGACCAACATAACACATTTTCTATGAAGCTCCTAGGATCTGTCTCCACTTTTCTGGTTATTTAGATTTAACACACGTCATACGGTTTCCATCTATATCAAATCAGCTATGCCAAGGAAAACTTGAACAGGGCAGGTATGACTGAATGCAAATCGCAATCCAATCCTTTCACTGCCTATTTCAAGCAGTCTACTGAACTGCAATAGCCATGTACTCACCCAAGTTCAAACACTTAGGGGGGTCCTTACAATACCTCAATATAACCAGGCTCGACATACAATTTGCAGTTAAAACTCTCTCAACATCTTCACAATACGCTCTCTGTTCACTATGAACTTCTCAAAAGACTGTTAAGAAAACTCAAAGGAACTCTGGACCTTGGTCTTCTCTAAGGACCGGTCCTCTTACTTTACACAAACTAAGATTCCAGTAAGGCTAGCGATTTTATCAATGGCTGAACATTTTTTGATTCACAATTTCTCTCCTGGCATGTCAAGAAGAAACCAACGGTGGCATGTTTTTCCACTAAAGCCGAGTACAAAGCTTTGTCTTCAACAGCCAGTGATGTAATTTGGTTCTGAAGACTTCTACAAAACTTTCATATCTCTATATCTCAATCAACTACCATATATTGCGACAACACCTCCATCATGACTATCACTCACAATCCTGTTTTCCATGCCCAAACGAAACACATAAGGATATATTGCCATTTCGTTAGAGAAAATATCCTTTCCAACTGAAGAACATGTTGATATCTTCACCAAATTTTTACCCATGACCTGGTCCATAAACTCAAAGAAAAGCTAATCATCTGTGACAAAACCATTAGTTTGTGGGGGGGATGATAGAGATATACCTGTCTCATCCGTCTATATGGATTCCAGATCATTCCACGAGATCTATATACTTACTCATTATTCCTGTAGAGTGTGAGGAGTATATACACCTATAATTTATAATGAATGTGGTTTTATGATTTATCTATTTTCTAAATCCTGTCATGTACTCTGCTTCCTCATCTTCTCATCTTTCACAAGCTTCTCATCCTTTTCATTTGGGTCTTTCGGAAAACCATAAAACAGATATTGAGTATTCTAAAATTTAGTCATTTCGCAAGAAAAAAGGGAAAAAAGCTGAAAAAAATTCCTAGCTATTGACATGAAAGTTCTCTAAAAAAGATATTATCCACAAAGCCACAATTTCAACATCACTAATGTTCAATGGTAAACATCAAAATTTTCATGCTGAAGGGTGCATGATAATTTCAACATATTCTATAGTAAAATAGAAGGAAAGTATTGAGCAATAAGCCTCTTAATATGAAAACCAAACTACAAAATCCCACTGAAAAAATATGGCAGCAACACAGAATATCTGCTAGTCAGGAAAGCAGGAACCATATTACAAGAACAATAAAAAAACAATGATAAACTTGCAAACACTTAAGGGAAAGGACTGCTAATAGGATTTAATGATTATTAACATCAACCTTTCTTCAATTTATGTTCTTCAATGCCAAACTTAAACCAAGGGATCCATACAGAAGTCCTTTTCTGATAAACTTGGTAGGCTTCGGCTCTGTCTTCTCTCTTCAGCATTCGTCGTTCAACGAGAACTGTGACATAAACCAAGCAAAGACTATTGACAAATGGCCCTACAAACATCCATCCTTCTCCAACATTCCAAGCAAATCCAAATAAGCCCCACCACCACAACTGCTCACCAAAGTAATTTGGATGACGAGAATAGTACCACAAGCCATTGTTCAGGTTAGGAACCGTTGGGGAGCCGTCAGCTCTTAAAACTTCGTTTCTTTGCATGAAATTGTAGAGCTGTGTGTCAGCAAAGAAGGCAATCACAATTCCACTAATGCATGTAGAGGTGGCTATGAAGTCCCAAAATCCCCATGGCTTAGTGCTGGAGTGAATTGCATATAGCGGCAGGCAAATCCCAATCAGAAAGATCTGACAATATGCATTGGGTTTGTTTTAATCGTGTAGAAAGTTTATGAAGGAAAATAATACAAAAAAGCCTATTAAGGAAAACATATCACATACTTTATCAGTTAAGGAAGCAGGCATATTTAAATAACAATATTTTAAAAAGAAGCAACTATTCTGAAAATGATATTTTGAATGGGATAATTTCAATAGTTTTAAGAACTTAATCAAAATTGCTCGTTTAGTTCATATTAAAACTAATCAGATCATACGCCTCCCATCTCAAAGACTCTTGTCTCAAAGGAGGTAGAGGTAGCGTGGGAATTAGAACTTTTGAATACAAAATCATTGAAATAAAGAATGAAAACTGGGAGCTAAATTGGATAAAATATTGCATCCAGAGTCCGGACGCCGGCCACGTCCGATACACTGATCGCGTGAGATTTTTTTTTCTTCCCAGCGATCACGGACGCCGGCCACGTCCGATACACTGATCGCGTGATATTTTTTTTTCTTCCCAGCGATCAGTGTATCATGTCCATTATCCGGACGTGGTTCTGCGTCCGGACTCCGGACACAATAATTTTTCGCTAAACAGAAGCTAAAGAAAAGTTTAAGGGGAGAAAACATTTACTATAGCAGTAAAGTGTGTAAGACAACTTAACAATAGGTTTATTCATGCAGAAAATGGTGGCTGCTAACTCTCTATTACATAAAGTAGACTCATTTCTACAAGGAAATAGTGACAACAGTAAAATACTAACGATATTTTCTTGTTTCTGATGATTATTTATAAGTTTCGAGGCAGAGTTATTAAGAAAAAGTATGTTACTTCAGAATTGTAGAATCAAAAAAATTCTAAACCTCTGAGGATGAAAGCTTCAATTGCAGTGCGGCTGTGATAATAACTCCATCGTGTCTCACATGCAGCAAATGTAAAATCTCCCTAGATTAATACAGCTAGCAAAGCAGCCCAAACCACCAACAAAAATTAGAGAAAAATCATCATTATATGCTGGTTTGCGTTAGAAAAAAGCTCAGATAAAACCCACAGAAAATTCAAACCTCCAACAGGAATTTGATCAAACAATTTAAATACACAGAATACTACCCCACCAGCCAAATGAACAAACTCAACAGTTTTCAAGTAAAAATAAACATCATAAAATGGAATAACTAATTAAAGATGAAAATATATGTAAAGCAAGATGGGAGCAAAACCTCTATACCTGCTGAGACACATACACAGCAAAGAAAGAAACCCACCACCAATGTTTCCCATACTCCTTTCTCATCTCATTAAACCTCCAATCCTCCCTAGTTCCCCACTCCCATTTCTCCCTCCTAAAATAGCTATGGGTGAGCCGTATGCTCCAAATATAGGTAAGAACAATCGCCACCATTGATCGTACTGCATTCGCACGCGCCAGAGGGTGGCTGGCGTAGAAATGAATTAGCATGACTGGAATTATGGTCCAGTACAGGTCAATCATCTGCACTCGAATAACTGAAATCAATCAAAAAGGAGCTGAATTTGAACGATTTAAAGGAGCGGAAGGCATAAAAGAAAGAACTTGGTTTGCACCCAGTGATTGGACTGAAGAAGGGCGATGACATAGAAGAGGACGTCGACATTGACGAAGAAGATGAGGTTGGAGAGCAGGAGTGGGTGGGAAGCGGCCACGATGGAGGAGGACGGGGAGCGTCCGTTCTGGCGGAGGAAAAAGAGGTAGAAGACGATGGAAGGGAGCGGAATGAGGAAGGCCATTGCTGCGTTTTTCAGATTCCTCATTGCTTGAGGTTTCAGAAGGCTGATTTCCAGGTGAATAACTAACAATTATGAGGTTTCTTCGTGGAGAAGATTGAGCTTATAATGGTCCAGAGAAGAGCGAGTGTTTATAATGGTCGAAGATAGCCTGAGAAGATCTGAGTTTATGATGGTCATGGATGCCATCGAAGGTCCACCAGACGGCGCCGAAAGTGATGGGCGTTCAGATTTTAAAGTTAGCATCATCATTAATCTTAACTAATCGCTATTAATGTATAACTTATTTTTAATTACAAAATATGATTAATATATTTCTGAAGTTCTTGTAAATTTGTTAATTTTGAAAACCTAAAAAGCTTTAAGCTTGCTGTTACTTGGAAGCACCAGTGTTAATGAAACTTGATTGATAGGTTCATTGCTCTCCATATTCCTAGATTTAAAAGAGCTCAAAAATAAGGGTGCATTTGGTAGGGCTTTTTAATTGCTTTCCCTTTGGAAAGTAGAATCCGTGCACATTGGATCCGGTCTTTTATCTGTTTTGTGTAAAATCACGTTCCCAAAACTTAAGTTTCGAAGACGGCGAGGCGGGGCGGGGCTTAGATATGCAATATGGTCTGCGGCTTGGGTGGTAAAAGATACTGTTGCCTTTCACCTTTTCCGCAAAAGTCATATTTTATCTGCAATATTTACCCATTTGGTTTTGGCTCCTCTCTCGTCCTCGATGCAGACTTTGGGGGTTAGGGCATACCAGTGAGCGTTTTTTTTCTTTGGTTTCTCCCTCCTCTTCCATCTTTGTTGTGATTCATATGTATGTATCTTGAAAGCCTTTCTTTTGTTTAGGGCCACACGAAGTAGTTTTTGTTTTTCGGTACAAGGATTTCATTTTTCTTCTATGTCGTCAGATTTCTACATTTTGATCTCCTATGTATTGGTGAGTTCGATTGTTGTACATTCCATGCTATTGGGTATCACACTCATTGCAATAACTTTAGATTTGTGGTTGGTTACTTCATTTTCGATGTTTGGTTTAGGTTTTGCATTTTATGTGGGTGTTGTTGGGGTTTGGTTGGATGTGGTTAATGTTACTCGATTGGGTTCTTGTTGGTTGTGGTTGGGCTTGATTTGGTTGCATTTTTGTTTGCTCTAGTTGGAGTTGATCTAATTAGATTTTAGTTAGCTGTGGTTGGGGTTGATATGGTTGGGGTTTGGTTGGTCGTGGTTGGGGTTGCTCTTGTTGGGATTTGGTTAGCTTTGGTTGGTTCTTATTTTATGATTCAACATACATAATAGTAAGTGTCTAAAATGAGTATGACTTACATGTTCTTTAAATTAATATGAGAAGTATTTTTCAATCTTCTTACTTATAATACTCTGATAATTTAAATTGAAAGAACCTAAAAATAAAATGTACACACATTAAAAAATTTACGAATGAAGTAAATATTACATTTGAGTTACAGAGTTGAACAATTACTATTAAATAATCTATCTTACTCAATGAAGGGTTGAATTTTGTTGTAATTAAGAAGAACTTAAAGAGTCACCCCTTGAAGCTCTTTATATTTGAGATAATGTGAAATTCATCTTTTTGATAATTTACTTAATTGAAGAAAAAATAGAAATCATGGACGACGAAGGCATCACACCTATAGCCTCATCGATAGGTTATTGTTGATTAACGCAATAGGAGCAAACATTAGTAGTCTCTTATAATATGTACGTCTCATATATTGAAACTTCTAGCTTAATATATCATCTCTTAAGTCCATAAGGTGAAACTATTTTCTATCTTTTGGGGGTAGTATGGTTTTATTTCTATTTTGTGCTCCAAGACAAGCATATATGTAAGTAATCTTTTATTTGTTGAGTCTCAAATTGGACCATGAGGGCATACAATTGCTTATATTTCTCCATATGGTGTGTCCAATTATCAATGAATCTCCCCCTCTTGTAGGTTGCATAAGTCCCAATCGATGCCACAAATTTTACACTAACATCATTAGAAGCTATGACTATTTTTGCCAACAATATAACTTTTTTTTTTGGCAAAAATTCCAATATTCAGGAATCAATATCATGTTAAAAATAGAGATGTTTCATTACACCTCAACAGTTACCTCCTTTTGGCTCAATATTATGTCAAGACCCAAGATGAAAAGCATCAACATAAATTATAAGTTTAAGTGGGTTATCATAAGACTTTTAATTATGTAAACATATTAGCATAAACACTTTTAATTATTTCACAATTACATACATTACATTTATCATGTTTCACTATATAAAGTGTGTTATCAATATGCATAATGGCATATTGATTAACTATTGCAAGCCATATGGAAACACTATACACTTGTGCTTCCCACAATAATCCTTGCAACATAATAAATAATCAAATACTGACAGCTAATAACTTAATGAAACTAACTAATAACTTAATACCAACAATCACTAGCTCAATATATAGTACAAACGAAGGATCTCTAACTGGAAGATTTAATCTAGGTGTAAAAGTCGAAGCCATTAACCAACTTCTAGAATATTGTCCTCAAAGGTAATTTTATTTTAAAGGATATAAGAATCTTTTTAGCACTTTAAAAAGTGCAACTGACTTAACAACAATTACACTACCATACATATGAAAGAGGAAACACCTTCGAAGCTAAAGAATTTTGTGTTTTTCACTGTGTTATCACGACTTCCAAATTAGAAATGCGTAGTTTGAAAAATTAGTAAAAGAAAATAATAAATAATAAATCCCCATATTATTTTTTTAAGATTTTATTTAAGTAGGCTCCAAGTGTAAATTGATGATTGAAGGAGGTAGAAAAAGTAGTAGAAAGGTTTTTAAGGGGGCATGAAATGCTTGAATATATGAGAGGAATTGTTATGAACAAATTAATCCAAATATCCTTGTCTTATTATTCCTTTTTCTTTCTACATATTCTTTATCCTAGGCTTTTTTTGCTTGCTCAAAATATCATTTGTATGCTCATTTTCCATTGAAGAATCAGACCGTAATTCAAGGCTAATTTTGAGGACTCAAAGGAGACATAAATGAATATATAACCTAAATTTTCTTATGTGATCTTAATTAGTTAAGAAGTGTCAACTATATGAACAAAAAGTAGCATTATATGTTCAATGGCCCCCTCGATGCCAACATAACATTATGTGAAAGATTACAATAGATATCCAAACTATTCAAGATATGTTTTCAAAATCAAAGTTAACCTTATAGAAATGTCTTTAACATACTTCTCCACTTTAGTATACTAAATCTGTTTGAGAAGAAGCAACCCATGATGACCAATCAATCACTA